CCTTACTGAGAATGGTTGTGCACCACTGGTGCTGATCATTAAGTCATTTGCAGCACAGCCTAACCAAAGGGCTTCATTGCAAAGAGGATCGAAGGGACACTAATAAGGCTCAAGCTAAGACGCACAACAGACGTCGGAATATTCTTCCTGAGAACAAAACCGTGGCCGAGTGAGAACTGCTCGGGCTGAAACCTCGGAGGCGTCACGTCCTGCAGCGGGCAGCGGTTAGGTCGGCACCGGTGGGCTGAGCCCCTGTCGGTGCCGTGCCCTGCAGTGGACGACAGTTAGGCCAGCCCCGCTGGGCTGAGGCCCTGGGTGGCGTGCCCTGCAGCGGGCGGCGGTTAGCCCGGCACCGCTGGGCTGAGGCCCTGTCGGCGCCGTGCTCTGCAGCGGGCGGCGGTTAGCCCGGCACCGGTGGGGTGAGGCCCTGTCGGTGCCGTGCTCTGCAGGGGGGCGGTTAGCCGGCACCGCTGAGCTGAGGCCCTGTCGCTGCCGTGCCATGCAGCGGGCGGCGGTTAGGCCGGCCCCGCTGGGCTGAGGCCCTGTCGTGTGCCGTGCTCTGCAGCGGGCGGCGGTTAGGCCAGCCCCGCTGAGCTGAGGGCCTGTCGGTGCCGTGCTCTGCAGCGGGCGGCGCAGCGACTACGCCAGCCGACGGACACATTCTTGGCACGGCGGCGCGACACCTCAACGTTTCGGCCCGTCGCGCGGTCTGCCCCCCCCTTCCCCCCCCCCCCCGCCTCCGCTCACCGCCGCCCGCCGTAGGTGCCGCGACGCGACACCTCATCGACAGGAGAAGAAAGCGATTCCGCAGGTCGCAGTACACCACAGGCACAGCGCAGTCTGATGCCGGGCAGATCAAGATGGGTCAGGACCCAAGATCACCTGGTTTGTGGCATTGAATCCACTAGTTGTTTGCCTTACAGTTAGTAGGAATTTAGGTTCTGCTTTTAGTTTTGGCCCACACAGATGCGCGTCGCAGCTTAACCCTGTAACGGCGTAATAACATGTCTTGCTCATGCAATGCAAAAGCAAAGCTTCATTCAACGAAGATAACATAGTCCATCATACGGAGGTTAGAACCCAGCTTGACAGATGCTTCTACTGGCTTCGGACAGGAAAACAAAAAGCCCATCATAAAACAAATTCAAACAGCTCAGGCAAGTAGTAGCTGATGGCAACAACGAGCTCCGCAGAGCTCGAAAGCCGAGTGTGTACGTGTTCAAGCGTTTAATAAATCAATGACATGCGAACGATGCATCGGTGGTGGGGTAGCCGTCGCTATAACCGAGTTAAACATGGAGAGAGGGATGGGCACCAGTGATCAATATCACCCGATGAACACCCGTGAAACATATTTATCTAAGCCTTGTGTGGACCACCGAGGCCCTAAAAGCGACGAGAGAGGGAAGTAAGAAATGTTACAAAGAATTTACAGGATACGATCAAGGGGGGGTGTCCGTACAGCAGAGAGGCAAGGAAGCGGAATAAATAGTCTGCTGGCGGCTGGGCCACAGCGGCGGACGGGAAGAGAGGGAGGGGGAGGGGGGGGGGCGGCATCCATGAGTGACGCGTCCCGTGAAGACCGCCACTGCATGCTGCATGACTGGTGAGGACGAAATGCAATTGACCTCAGTGGGGCACGCCCCGTAATAACGGCCACCACGTGCTGAATGCCAGCAGACAGTGTCACATGACGTCACAGTGAAACGTCAGGTGTAGACGACCATTCGGCATCGAGTAACAAAAGACAGAGCGCTGGTGACGTCAGTGTAACACGATTTGTGGTGACGATCGTTTGGTGCTGATTGTTAGAGAGGAGGAAACTGGTGCTGAGTAGAGGACGGCTGAGTACCGGTGACGTCAGAGGGACCCGTTCTGTACTGGCGGTTTCTGCGTGGTGGGTCATTAGTACAGAGTGTTGTGAGCAATGTTCGTGGAATGCCCCCTGTAGTGTCGGCCATTGGATGCTGCTTGATAGCGGACAGAGTCCTGATAACGCCTGCAGCACATGCCCTGTGGTGACGACGCTGGGTGTTAAGCGGCACAGGACCGAGCTCCGCTGACGCCCGTGGGATGCCTCCTATGGCGACGGTAGATGGGTTCTGAGCGGCCAAAGACGGAGTGCCAGTGACGTCAGTGGGACGCCTCCCGCGGTGGTGGTCGCTGGGTGTTGAGTGACGGAAGACGGAGTGCTGGTGACGTCAGAGGGACGGAGGCGGCGGTGACAGACGGGAGCCACCGTCCTGGTGGGCGTCGCGGGCGTCGCCGGCGAGACGAGGACGGGAGAGAGGAGAGCGCAGGGGGGGGGGGGGTGGGTGCAGCGGCACGTGACTCAGAGGCCGGGCGGCTGCCAGCCGGACGTCGCGGCTGGCCGAGTCATCGCCGACCCAGGCCGGAGGGCGCGGAAGGGACGGTGACGCCGAAGGCAGCCGGCCAAGGACCGACGGTCAGGACTGGCCGCCCATGGGACACGGGTACAAGCCGGTCAGGGACAGGCCGCTGCCGGTCCCCAGATGAAGATCGTCAGGAACAGGCCGCTGTCAGCTCTCGGCTGAGGCCGTTCAGTGTCATATCACTACCAGCTCTCCGGCTGAAGTCGATCAGTGCCAGACCACTACCAGCTCTCCGGCTGAAGCCGGTCAGTGTCAGACCACCACCAGCTCTCCGGCTGAAGCCGGTCGGCGTCAGACCGCTGTCAGCTTTCCGGCTGAAGCCGGTGGGCAGGAACAGACCGCTGCCAGCTCTACGGCTGAAGCCGGTGGGCAGGAACAGACCACTACCAGCTCTCCGGCTGGAGCCAATGGGCAGGAACAGATCACTGTCAGCTCTACGGCTGAAGCCGGTCAGCGTCAGACCGCTGTCAGCTCTCCGGCTGGAGCCGGTCAGTGTCAGACCACTACCAGCTCTCCGGCTGGAGCCGGTCCCGGAACAGACCGCTGTCAGCTCTCCGGCTGAAGTCCATCAGTGTCAGACTTCTGCCAGCTCTCCGGCTGGAGCCGGTCCGGAACAGACCGTTACCAGCCATTCAGCCGCAGACGACCAGTGGCGATCACCGGCTGAGGCGCGGCCCATCCGCTTACGGACGCCTTTACCTATGCAGGCGCTATTTGCGCAGTTCGCTCCGGCGCCTCAGCCGTACGGAAATGAGGGGCGTCACTAAGAGACGTAATTGCGAGCTGACCGTGCAGCCGCCAGCGTAAACAAAGCCGCCGGAGCGCCGACAAGTCCACTACAGACGAGGGCGGGCAATAACCGTGCATCTCTGATGTTTGTAGGAAACTAAGAAGGGATTATTGCGATTCCTCTACAACGTGGTGGCTTCAAATTTAGTTTCTTTCGCTTTCAAATTTAGTTTGTAGCTATCAGATATCTAGGCTGTGTCGGTCACTGTTCCGGGATTTTTTTAAAAGTCTTTCGACATTGAACAGGTTCCCGCTGGTCACTGTCTGACATGGAGACTGCAACCAATGTGTGTCTTGCTAGATCGGACGGCTCGACAATAGCACAGAAGCCCACAACCCAAATGCGCCTGATTTGACGCTAAACCACGATGACGTCATCTAAAACTTAATTCCATTCGGAAATGGACCACTTTACGTTGCTGCGTATCTTTGGCTACTACGATGTAGGTGAACTGTGACTTGTGCTCCTGTGCTGAGTGAAGCCCTGCCCGTGCATGTGGTCTGTGCTGCCTGCGTTGATGCCGCATCAGTCCCCACACCACCGGCCGGACTGCCCGCCTGTCGTGTGGGCGGTGCGCGGCTGTGGACGCGAGCCCATGCCTGCCTCACCCGAGGTACGGGCGCCGAATACCGGACGCGTCAGACGCTGCCCGGGCGGCCGGCCGCGCTCGCCGGGCGCGGCCGCTGTACCTGCGTAGGTGGCGGCCGGCTGCAGGATCGGTGAGCAGGCGGTGCTGCCGCGCGACACGCAGTCGTACGGCCCGGCCGGCATCAAACGCTGCGTCAGTGCCGCCTTCAGCGCCTCAAAGCTAACCAGCAACAGATCCCCCGTGCCCAACACCTCTGCGAACAGCCGGCGT